GCCACGGGTCTGCCAGGCAGCAAGGTGCCTGGGGAGGGGACAGGGACAAGCGGAGGTAGCCAGGAGGTGCACTGAGATTCGCCCAGCACAGGCTCCACAAACAATTCTGAGCTCTTCGAGATCAGAATTGTTCGGTTTTCTTTCCCCCCGAAGGAATCTTTAAAACAGTTTCCAAATTTGAGGGGGGGGAAGGGGTGGGGCAAAGAGATGGAGGCAAAAAATCCCAGCTTTGCCATTTCAGTTCTAAATTTAAGATATGAAACCGTGAGTATTTCATCAGGGACATGGTTGCTGGAGGAATCTGCTCAGCCTCTTGGCCCCTTGCTCCATCTCTCCTGAGATGGGTTTTGGCTCCATCATCCCACGGGCAGTGGTGGGCCGGGAGTCCCGGGGCTGACACATGTCAGGGGGCCCCGAGGTGCCTGCTCCTCCCGAGCTTTGCAGCCACGCTCGCCTCCAGCCCCTTGCCCCGGGCTGGGGTGGGAGCCGCAGGAGCCGCTCGGTGCTTGGGAAAACCCCGAGGAGCAGGGTCTGAGTCCTGCAGGGCGGCTGGAGGCAGGCTGGAGCTTGCCCGAAACGAGGTTTCCCCGGAGGCAGACTGTTCTCGTGTTTCCCAGCTGGCTGGAGGAGCTCGGCGGCCGCTCCCCTCCGCAGACAGCGCGGGGCAGCACCGGACCTCGGCAACACCCCACCGCCGGTGCTGCTTTTGGATTTGGGATTTGCTCCTTTGTTTCAGCTGCTTTCCCCTTTTTATTTGCAGGTGATCACCACACCGCTGCGATGCCAGAGCCGTAAGTAGCACGAGTTTCCCCCGGGCTTCACTAAATCCTCACCCGGCTGCTGGGCTGCTCCTGCCAGCTGAGCTTGTCCACTTCTGGAAGAGTTCACAGGAGGGACCAGCTTCTGCTCAAGACCTTTGTGTCATTCCCCTTGCAAAAACTGTATTTAGATAAAAAATTGTGAATGATTTCAACGTCCTGATTCAAACCTTGGAGCTTTCCTAGACCCTGAAATAGGGATCTGAGGTGGGCAGCACTGTTTGCTTTGCTGCGAGGCTCGTCGTGGTGCAAATGTACCAAACGTCGTGCCCAGGTAACACGTTGCCTGGTGTGAGCAGGCTGCAGAAGCCACCCTGCAAGGTGTTCATCAAGCAGTGACATGGAGATGCCCCAGCACAGCAAACCTGCACGAGGTCTGAGCACCCCGTGTACCAGCTGCTGGCTGCGTGGGGAGCAGGAGGGAGGGTGGTGGGACCCGAACTGCAGGGAGCGAGCTGGGGCTGGCACGATGGGCACAGGGACAGCTCCTATGCTGTGGCTGAGGGGCACGTTGGCTACCTGAGCAGTAGCCTGGAGTGCCCACTGCATTTGCAGAAAGCTTCATCACCTCAGACCTGGCTCACCTGCAGGTGGCAACTGTTAGAGACAGAAATAAGGAAACAACTGCAGTCGTGGGATGCTTTTCTTGACTGCCATGTCTTTTTGACCCTTACTCACTGATGTCCTGTTCTCTTGTTTCTTATTGCTTCTCCCTGGACACACGCCTGTCTGCAGGGAGGTAAGTGTCCTTCCTTTCGGGAGCCGTCTCGATGCTACTCTGCATTTGCAGTGAGTTTGTTTTCAAAGAGTTTTCTTTTTTTTTTTTCCTCCCCTTTCCCCTAGAGAAAATCCAAGATCACAGCCTCCCGCAAACTCTTGTTGAAGGTGAGTCCTGAGGGCTGGAAACTCCCTGGGGTTTGTCTTGCTGGAGCAAGGGAGCTGGGGTTGAAGTGCGTGGTTGGGACGGTGCTGGGGAGTGGCAGAAGTATGGGCCTTGGGGGAGCAGCCCCTGCTCCCACCTCTTCTCTTCTCAAAAATCCTCACTCATGTGGGCTTTGTGGTCCATGCACCAAACAAACCTTCCCTCGCCTCCACTTTACCAAGGTGGGGAGAGACACTGATGCCTTCAACTCTGAAGCCACAGACCTCGTGTTTGTGCTCCAGCAGCTCTGCAGCACAGACCCGGGAGCTCCCGGTGTTGTCGTTTGGGAAAATAATTGAGTGCTGCAGCAGAACAAAGCCATGCAAAGAAAGTGCCAATGTCAGCACCCCTCGGGACCACCGCAGCGCCGTGCTGCCCCCGGCCCTGCTGTTCCCTCTGCCCTCAGGGTCACCACACAAAAGGGGTGAGGATTTTTTGATGTGTGTTGCAGCAGCACCGTGATTTTGGGAGGACACCCGCAGCCAGGAGGAAGTTTTGGGAGGCAGACAGGCCCGTCCCATCCTACAAACACTGTGCAAGGAGGCCCAGGGGGAGCAGAGGAGCTTGTCTGTTCACTGCCACACCATTTACTTGTGCTCATAGAGTTTGATGCTGGCAAAGGCGAAGGAGGAGTGGGATCAGGAGATAGTGGACAAGCAGTTGGAGAAGGAGAGGTACCTGTCTGAGCGGATCACACCACTGCACACCAGTGGGCTTTCCCTGAGCCAGCTCCAGGTATTTCTCAGGTCTGAGGGTGGGGCAAGCTCCTCGGGAGCATGGAGGGACACCCCTCACTGCCCTGCTGTTGTGCTTGTTCCCCAGGACCTGTGCAGGGAGCTGCATGAGAAGGTTGAAATTGTGGATGAAGAGAGATATGACATCGAAGCGAAATGCAACCATAACACTCGGGAGGTAGGAGGCAGGATGGGCTCTTTGCTCCCCTGTTAAATCCCTCCCAGATGGCAGCTTGGGCCTCAGGGGGGTCTGCCGTGGACAGGGCTGAGCCTGTGTGGCTGACGTGCACCAGGGTTATCTGAGGGTTGGTATTTGGTCTGCAAGGCATCATTCAGCACCAGGTTCAGCTCTGTCTGGGGGAACTCAAACTGTCCAGAGTCCACAGGCAACTTCCTCACTCTCCTGGTCAACTCTTGTGGGTCTGGGAGCTCCTTCCTGTGCTCCAGCTGCCATATGAGCAGGCTGGGACGAGGTGGTGGCAGCAGCTCTGTGCTCAGGTGGAGGTCCCTTGGGGAAGGTGATCTCCATGGCCACAGGAGAGGGTCACACTCCTCTGGGGTTCGGTGCTGGCAGATTTCTGCTTCACACAGAAGCTTCTCGTGCAAGAGAGCTGCACAATGACCTCCCACTCCCCGTCCTCTCCTCGACCTGCAGATTAAAGATCTGAAGATCAAAGTGCTTGATCTCCGAGGAAAGTTCAAGCGACCACCCCTGCGACGAGTCCGTGTCTCTGCTGATGCCATGCTGAGGGCTCTGCTGGGCTCCAAGCACAAGGTGTCCATGGATCTGAGAGCCAACCTGAAGTCTGTCAAGAAGGAGGACACAGAGAAGGTGGGTGACTCTTCTTGAGGCCAGAGATGAAGACAGCTCCTAGGGGTGTCCTTGCCCTTCTCCAGGGTGCCCTATGAAGCCTGTGTGTCTTTCAGCTGGGGCCCTCAGCACATCTGTCAAGCTGTGCTTGCAGGATTTTTGATCTTTGGTCTTCTAGGGAACCAGACAAGCTCCTGTTTGGTGCCACAATCCCTGGAAAACACCCAGGAAACTCCCAGACCCAGATTAGATAAGCCAGAGCAGTCCCAGCAGGCATGCTTGGCCTGAGATAAATGGCCCAGTTCACACCGGCCCTGCAGAGGTGTCAGAGGGGAAAAAATCTCAGTCAGAGCAGATGCCCAGGTTTGCCTGGGGTGTGCAGATGCCCCAATGGCAAGAGCTGTGGTGTTTTCCTAGGCTCTCTCCCCAGAGGGATTCTACCCTTTGGTCCCAGGTCAGCAGATTGGCCAAGAATCTGAATTTTCAATTATTTTTCTTTTTTTCCCCTCTCCTGTTGCTAGTATAGCATGTATCCAGTCCTTTGGATAGAAAACTGTTTACAGTCCCCAGCACCAGGTGGTGAATAGATCTGAGTTTATATGAGATGTCATGAGATGATTTTGGGCCATGGCTTGTAATGTATGACTGCTTGTGGGCTGGCAGAGTAGATGCCTGGGCACACTCCCAGAGCTGCCATCATCTCCCCTCACTGTTCTGGCAGCAGTTGCCAGGCTCTCACTGTCAAACCAGCAATCCCAGTCCCCTCTGAAAGCTCAGAGAAGCTGCAGGTGGGTTTTATGTGGGCTGGGAGGTCTACGCAGAAAGTGGTTTTGCTTGTCTTTGCTCTGGTGTGCTGGTGTAGATCCAAAGTTAAGTCCCATGTGCTGAATTCTTCCTTCTAAAGAAATTTTCTGGCATTTTTGTGCCTTCTGATGGAACTTAGTCAGGCTTTGGGGGGGTAGCCACATCAATCCAGCAGACCTTCCTGTGGTGGTCAGACCACTGTTTGCCACCTTCCCAGCCAGCACCTTGTGCAAGGACACACTGCAGAGCTGGCACCAAGGGAGAGGGTGTTTTCAATCATAGAATCTTTAAGGCTGGAAAAGACCTCTGAGATCAGCCAGGCCAACCATCAGCCCAACACTCCCATGACCACTAAACCAAGTCCTGAAGCACCATGCGCACACGTGTTTTTGAACCCCTCCAGGGGTGATGGCTCCACTCCCTGCTGGGGGGTCTGTCCCAAAGCCTCACCCCTCCTTCGGTAAAAAACTCCTTCCTAATGCCCAGTCGAGACCTCCCCGGGCACAACTCCAGCCCATTGCCTCTTG